ATGACTAGCTTATGCTTTTGCTCAGAGAAGGCGCTTCTAACAATAAGAATATTTAATTACTCAACAATTAAATCCAGTAACTTAGTGAGCTCCCTTATTTAAGACGATGTGCTTCTTACCTATGAATATACTAGATCAGAAGCCAGACACTGACTTTTAATGATGCTTCCTGACCTTGGAGGGAAGTATGACTGGTTAGTCCCTCTCTGAGAGCCTTTCCTGTGATAAAATCCCATTTTTAGCCTCATGAGTTCCTGCCCCAGTTTAAGAAGTTCATTTGCTAGCAATCTCTCAGATTCAGATCTTCCAACAGAAAATTAATTTAAGCTAATGTAAGAGATGTTCCCTGGAATGAAGGCAATGCCAGTAAAAAGGCCTTAAATGTTGTTCATCTGTGTAGTTAAACATAATCTTTGTGTACAAAGGATAAATTGAAGCACAAACACTTTAATGTTCTCTCTTTTGCAACAGTGTGGGATGAATTCCATTTACAAGTCTTTATATATGCACATGGATCCCTCACATTCTCTTTATTTTTTCATTATTTTATTTTTTATTTGGTCTTTTTGAGACAGGATCTTGCTACGCAGTTCAGGCTGGCTTTGAGCTCACTTTGTAGCCCAGGCTGGTCTCAAACTCACAAAGATCCTCCTGCCTCAGCCTCCCAAGTGCTGGGATTACAGGCGCAAGCCACCATACCCAGCCCTCCCGTTCTCTTTAAATGCTGAAGATTTATTAAAGCAAAGCAGCACACTGCCAATATTATTAGACATATTTTAATTTAAATGCAGACAATAGAAAGGTTATCACAGAAATGTTACAGAAACTTGCAATGACAGAATGCAACTTGGAAAACTAATTAGTAAATGAAAAGAAAAAAGATAATCCTGACTTTACCAAGCAACTTGTTAGTCCATCATTGGATAACTGATTAATTTAGCAAAGTATACCCCTTGCTGGTATTTTTTGAATGGACAGGTTAACAATTTAGGAAATCTACTAAATTGGTATGAACTGAAACTTTTTGTAGTGAAAATAGTTTGACACTAGAAAGTAAAAAAAAAAAAAAAAACATCTCAAACCAAGTAGTTATAACTTGGATTTCAGCCTATAACCTGGATTTCAGCCGGTTCTTATGGATTTGCTAGAAAGCAAGTGACAGTAAGCCTGGACCCCTCCCTCACCCAACACACACACACACACACACACACACACACACACACAATCCTGGGACACAAATGACACACACACACACTCATAATCCTGGAACACAAATGCCATACACACATAGACACACACTCACACCTGGACCCCTCCCTCACCCACCACACACACACACACACACACACACAATCCTGGGACACAAATGTCATCAATGCTCTTGCCTTATGCAGGCATAGAAGCCCCAGCCTGAAAACAAAGTGACCCGGGCCCTGGATCTCTGAATCCATGCTGAGCCCTTTCGGAACTGTAGGTGCATGGGGCAGCAGGTTTAGCATAAGGAATGTAAAGTTTTTAAACTTTGGCAAATAAGTGTACAAATGACTATTTCTTGATTGTCACTTTTATAATGAAATAGCGTTCTACCTCTTGAAAAAAATATTCTTGTATCTGAATTCCCTCTCAAGCATCTGCAGGGCGAATTCATAAAATAGAGGTAGACTAAAACCTCTTACCTGTAATAATTTCTGATTTATCATTTTCTATCTTCTCTATTTAAAAAGCATATAAAATGTATAGTTCATCACTGACAACTAACCAATAATCCTGGTATGTTGCTGCTGTGGAGGCTCGTGAAGAACTCTGTAAGTAATTTATGTGGGCCTCTACATACTTAATTCCTTTACACTAAATTACAGATCGGACCACTAATAATACACAGACAAATGCAAATTTCACTATTCCTCCCAACTTTAATCCACCTGTGAAAGTACCAACATCAGCAGGGAGGGGCTAGGCCTTGGAGCACACGCAAGGCCTAGCGTTCAGTTCCCAGCACTGAAAAAAAAGTCTTTGAAAAGGGTATTTTCTTTTTAAAATAATAAATAACATTTATTCAAATGATTTTAAGGAAGGTATTTTGTGCCCATAATGACTGTGCTAACTGTAGCACAGTTATATCCCAATGTGTAATGGAGGATATTTTAAAAAAGAGATATAAGACCTAAAAATTAGATTACAATCATAATTTGTAATGATAAATTACTGTTTGTAATATCAGGATAAAAGGAATTTTAAATACTGTTGATAATTTTGTAGGTATTTTAAGGGGGTAGTAAAGGAAAAATTAGAGAAGTATTTTAAAACAAAAATGCTAGACTCTAGCTAGCTATCTAAAAGCAGTTCCTTTTCTGGTTACAGAAAGAATCCATCATGGGTCTAAAAGAACGCATTATTGATCTATCCAAACTTCCGCTCTGGGATAAAAAGAGCTATCTTCTAAGTTTGGGGGATTCTTTGAGATATGAGGCATTATATAAACATTTTTCTAAGTTGTCATAATCCTGTCTTTGCACTGCTTAGGGGCGAGAATAGGGACAATAAAAGGGTGTAGGTTCCCTTATCTACTGAATGAGGTATAATTAATAAGCTGCATTCTTTCTAAAATGATCAAGGAATGCTCCTATTGCGGCTCTTCTCATATTTGACAGCACCCAAAAACTTACACTTGGATGGACATCAGGAAGCAATGAAAAAGCAGGTAACAAATCAGCCACTATGTGCCCAGAGCTAAACTTGTTGCTATGGGGAAACAAAAATAAGGAGCCACAGATGGGTCCTGCCTTTGAAAGCATAAAATAAGATTTAAAATGTGTTTTATTTCTTGCTATAAAAATTTAAAATTTTAAGTACTAAACTGATGTTAACCAAAATCCCTACTGAGGTCTGTATCCTTTCCAAGAGAGGCTGGTTAACTTGGGCTTTGTTACAACTGCAGATACTGTTCGTAAATAACATACTCAAAGAGAACACCTCAGCAATATAGCAGCTGTGAGCCACTGAGACTGGTTCTACTCTAAGCGGCTCAGAGGAAGGCATGGCATAAATGTTAATCCTAACACATAAGTGACGAAAACAGCTCTACACATTTGGACCCCGTTAGGTTATATTTGTCAAAGCTTAAACTTCTTAAACTATAGCTTTCTAATGCTTATATATTCTATTGTAATTAATTTTGAGCATATTATCAAGAACTGCCAAAAGAGTTCTGGAAACATAATTACTCCTCATTCTATACATTCACAGAAAGTCCAATTATTTAAGACTACAGAGTCCCTTTGAGTGGGCTGCTTCACTGACGAACAGTCCTCTGGTTTAGCCTTCACCTAAACCAGTCCTGTGAGGTGGAGCACTCAGTACAGAAGGGTGAACTCAGGGAAAACATCTCCACCATAACATTCACGTCATGCAAATGGAGAATCCCGACAGCTCCTCCAAGACCTCAGATTGCAATCCCTAGGAACTTTCTAACTTAACTTGTCATTAACCAAAGGAAAATGATACCTTTAACAAGGAAGGGTCACTGAGAAAGACCTTGGTGTCACATGCCTGCAGAAATACATACTAAGGGGTAGGAGTTAATACACCTGTCGTTTCTGAGAACAAATGGCTCTTATATTTAAATGAGTTCGCCACTTTGCTCTCATAGGCTATGATTTAAGCAAATACATCATGCAACATGGACTTTCATAAATGTTAACTCTCCATCAATATCCAACCTATATAAAATAGGCAGAGAAGACAGATCTTGAAAAGACAAAATAAGTCTATATGATTCTATCCTAGGAAAGTCTTGTGTATTTCTCACACGCCATTATTTAATGATATTGCTAACTCGATGGGTTAATATTTTCTGAAACAACTTCTCAGGCAAGTTTATTGTTGTGACTTCAGTGCACATCATCTGAAACTTCGTAAGATCGGTAGACCACACACACTGTCTCACATCATTTTGGAATTTGTACAACTAATACATTCCAATGGGAACATCGTAACAATGTTTGTGAAAATTATAAAACATGTTTATATTTACAAATACTTTACAAATAATTCATTCCCTCCCTACATCAAACCTATGATCAATCAAAATGATCTCATTTCACAGATAAACTAGAAACCAAGATAAACTGTGTAGAAATCAATTCAGAATAAGAACACGAATTTAAGCAAACATCATTTCATAATTTAGGCTGCTTTGACTATAGCCTAATTCTGGGGTTTGGAGCATCTGGCTCAGAAAGACAGAGGACACACAGAATTAGATATTTTTTTTTTTTTTTGGTACTGGGAATCGAACTCAGGACCTTGCACTTGCCAGGCAAGCACTGTGCCGCTGAGCTATAGACCCAGCAGAACTAGATCTAATTGCTTAGACAGTATGAAATCACTCCAACATCTGACTTGTTTATGAGATTCAGAATGAAGTCCTAACTAAGATAATGGGAAGCAGTTGCTAAGTCTAAACTATTATGATCTCTGGGTGATTCCAATTCAATACCATGATATATCCCATTCTATTCAACATCAAAGTCAACTATGAATAGTGAAGAGGCATCTTAATTGATGCGCCCACCCAGATTCTTTTAAGACACAAGTTATTTCTGGTATCTCTAAATGCGTAGTTCTAATAATAAGGACACTTTTCTGTGTGGTAATGCAAATCAAATTCCATGGATTCTAAAAACATCAGTTCACCTTCTAAAAAAAAAGCTTATCCACTGGGAGAAGTAGCTATTTGTTAATTTTTGTGATGAAATAGGAAAAAAGAATATTAATCTATGTTGACAGATTCTGACAGCTACCTTCTAAGCTAATGTTATCTTAATAAAAACTACATGGTAAAGAGCAATCATTATTTTAAATGAATAAAAACTTTCACATAAAATACATTATCAAATTCGAAACTAAATTTAAACTTTCTTGTAAGATAGCCACCATGACATTAGTTGACACAACAGAGACCAAAGAATACTGAATAAATGAACATTATGTAATTTTCCTTCAAGAGTTTTAAATCTTACTTTTTTAATTCATGTTTTTACATTACTTTTAGTAGTAAAAAATGAACTTCTGTTAAGAGTCTGGATTATATTTTGGTCTTTAACAAACCAAATTATCTTTTCTGTATCATATTTGAAATGTAAACAGTATTACCAAACACAATAATAAAATACAAGAATAAACTAAATATTTGCTAACATTTACAATTTACTAGAATTCAACAATGTCACTGATTTCTATCCTGATAAAAGTAAATTATACTACTTTGGAATACACTTTTATCTGTCAGTTTTATCTATTTCGTTGACTTTTCAGTTAACATGAAAATTCATTTGAGCAATAAATCAGAGAGTATTTAGTTTGGTGGCCTTAACTATATATCTTTTTAACCCCAAAATGTTAGCCTTAGTCATTTTAAGCAACAAATAAAGCAAAAATATTTTGCTGTGTATTTTTAAAATCACTTCTCAAGGGTAGATGGTTTCATTCAAGGACAGATTTTATCACCTACTTTGTCTTATAATGAAATGTTCCTTTCTAAGTTATTTATTGGAATCATTACTAGCAAATATACCTGCATATACCTGCAGTTCAAGATATGTGTATTAGTGTAATACATTCAGTCATAAATTCTCTATGTATAAAACAAATAGAGTTGCCACTATTTTATACTGCAATAAACATATGGATGGATACCAGTTCTATTTCATAAAATGCAACTTCTAACCAATTTAAGTTTCCAAAAGAGGAGAACATTAAATATTTAAAATACCAGTAATTCCCTCTATTATAGAACACCAGTCAGGTGAGATCTGAAAGAGATTCTTTATTGGTAGCCATACAATTGACTATACCTGCAATCTCTGTGTTTTCTTGCTAGTTAAGAAAAAATATAGAACCTACACATTTAAAACATTATCAATGTAATAATCAGTACAGATTCACTGATCTAAAAGTTTGTAAAAAATTGCCAAAGTCATGATGAACACAATTATCGCAGCTACATCATTTGAAAAAGTAATATAAATTATGCTGCTAAAGACAAAAACACTGAAATACATAAACATCACAATGTAATACAGCAGTAACTCATACTATTACGAAAAATTAAATTTAAAACATTGTTAGAGAAATTGGGAAATTTTCATTTTAGCAAAACATTCTATTTATATACCTCCAACTTCTATGATACAGTATACAATAAAATACTTTTAAAAGATATAACATTCAAATGCTTCATTTACACAAATAATATTGTCAATACTAATAAAAGTGATGCCCTTAAACATGAATTGCTCTGCTAATTGTGATTTCAAAGTGTTTTCTGAACTTCATTTTATATTTTAGTTAGCCACTGGCATTACAGACTAATCAGTTCTGTGCTGACTAATACAGGGGTCCTAGTCAAAATACTGTTTCTCAAAAGTAATGTGTATCATATTGCTTGAAACTTAACAACCATATAAAAGTGGTAACTGTTTATCTAAACATTATTTATGAATGACAACTGGGATGTATTCAGGCAAAGTGTTGAGTTCATGATGATTTATTTACAATAAAAGTACTTTTACTGATGCTAACATGATATATACGTATCTATGTCAATTACTACAGTCTCAAAGTTATAAAAATATTATATAAAATACCACAGGCTTTACAGGATATAACTTCATGTGGTTCTGATACTAGCAGCTGAAAAGTGTTTATAATTTAAAAATAAATAAACTATAGAGGTAAACCAGTTACAAAACAGCAGAGGACTGCAACAGTCACAAGAGTGAAAAGAACTGCTTAATTACACAACAGCTAACAAAATGGTGAAGCAGTTGGATCAAAAGTTTTAAAAACCTCTTTCAGAGATTTGTCATCTGTTTCTCTACTGGGATCATTCTCTGGAGTTGGGCTCACCTGTCCTGGCTGCCTAGCCTGCCTTGGATCACTGTACTGGGGTCTAATTAAGCCTGTTAAGGCCTGAATAGGAAGACTGTGGACTGCCGGGACCTGAACCTTTCCAGAACTCTGGAGAGTATCTGCGTGTGTGTCAGCTGGCGCATCAGCAGTGACTTCCACGCTTGGACTGGTTTTCTGTGGTAAGACTGCTTCTGCAGGAGAAGGCTCATTTTTATCACTGTTTTTTATGTTACCACTTTTTTTCTGGCTCTCTGTATTTTCTCCTAAAGAAACTGCTGCTAATTCTGATGTAGATGATGACCCCTGCTCCCTGGGGTCATACAAACTAATACCACTAAGAACTGTACTTGGAGTTCCCAGTGAAAGGCCGGCTGAAGAAGAGAATTTAGGGGCATATGGAGGCAGAGTCCCAGAACTCGCATTGCTAGTTATTACAGCTGGGGGCTGCAAAGTAGCAGTGCTTGATCTGGCTACATGGGGGGCACTCTTTGATGTATGTGACTCCTTTGTAACCATCTGATGCGACTCTATATTAGACAGTCTGTGAAGCCTAGGATCAAAATTCTTTTGCAGCCTAGGATCTCCTAATTTACCTCCTGAACTATGTAAGTCTCCAAATTGATCTAAGTAGCCTTCTCTGTTTGCTGGATTAATTTTGGCTTTAGCTGCTAATTTTGAATCAATGGAAGCTGTGTTTTGGTGAAGATCACTTTTTGTATTCCATAACCTATTGAGCCTCTGGTCAGCTATAAGAGGGGGCAGAGGTAAATTGATTGAAGATACTGGATCAGGCTTAGGCAAAGGAACTGGAAGTAAGTCTTCTGGAGCCCACACAATGTGTTTTGCGAAGTTGGGTTTGGTTAGGATAATGTCCATCTTAATGTGACTGAACTGTCTCAACTGTGACCTTGGATCCTGCAGAATTACACCAGGTGGAGAATCCAAAGGAATTAAAAAAGCTTTTTCTCTCAGTTCTCTTTCTGTATCTTCGTCGTCATCATCTCCTCTTTTGTGTTTGAGATTAGGGCCAGTATTTGCATGGTGTAAGTCAAACTTTGCTCCACCAACAGAAGAGCCTCCATGACTACTTCCATTCCCTCTTACTTTTCTGGGATCCCACACAAGCCTAAGATCCACTGGGACAGACTCAGAAGGTTTCCTGCTGTCTTGCCTTGAGATAGTCCTAAGCCTAGGGTCAGCCACTTGATTTCCTTTCATTTTCTCTTTAGCAAGTCTTGGGTCAGTAGGAATGCTGAGTTCTGTGGAAGGCGGTTGCTGATTCCTTAAAGTTTCTGTTTGTTTCTGTAATGTTTTCAGTATTGATTTGACACTGCTTCCTTCTTCCTCTTCACTACTGGAATACCAGTTAACAGTATCATCTAAATGCAGACAAAAACTCATTGTAAAGAATGAAGCAATTATATTTGGCCTTAAAATTAAAAAAAACCACATACTGTTTCTGAAATAATTATAGTCTAACTTCAAGAAAATCAATGACAGAAATGTGAAGTTTCACTACAGAATGAGATAATATGAAGATAATTATCAATTCAGTCATTATCCTCTATATAGGAACTAGCAAGCTACTGGAGGATGTGTTCACAGCCTTCCAGTCAGAGAAAAATCAGGACCTTTCTTCCAAGTGCAAAAGGAAACTCAGAAGTGTACGTGTGGTATGCATGGCAGGGTGGGAGGCAAAAACACTCTTGGAAAGGTATTTTAAAATGTTTGGGCCTCTTAAACTCAAGCAGTTATTTAGCTGCATAGTTCTCAATTTATCATGACAATATGTGAAAATTTCTGTACTTTATGAGTTATGCCTTATCCCTAAGGTCTATTTACCCCTAGCATTTTAGACACAATTTTAAGAAGCCTCGTGGTCAGAAGTCTTCTCTTTAGTAGAATGAAAGAATTAAAACTGATGCTTCAGGAAGATGATTTTATCTCTCCATTAAAGCATACACAGGATGGCTCTGAATTGGTCACTGAAATATCTAACTTCCACATGCCAGCACACAATCACTTTCCCTTCCCTTTTCTCCCCCACCTCTCAACTAGAATATCTTGGATGAGTAGAATATACAGTACTAGACATGTTCACTTCTAGCTCATTTTCACTGCTCACCAGTCTATTTCTACTACATGAAACTTTAGCGTCACAGGATGAGTTTTCATAGAGTAGTGCATATAAAACAAGCACTAGTATTTAAGGCAGTATGTGGTTTAAAGCAGAAAATTTTACTTAGATCTCAGTGTCTGAAAAAACTACATCTAGACACTAGCTCTCTTTTTTTCTTTTGACATCCAGGAAACCCAGAGCTGGATATGTAATTCACTTTTACCTGTTAAAGATTTCTATGTAGAAATTCCACTCCTCATAGTATTTCTCACCTCTATCCTTGTTTTATTTTCATTCTCACTTTCCTATAAGAAGTCACATCTTTTTTGGAATGAACAAACATAATAACACAAAGACAGTAAAAGAGTAGAGCTAGTTCAGTTAACAAAATAGATATTAGATAGGAAATACAGTTAATAGCTTTTTACCAGCAAACAAAAAAAAACTGCAAGAGCATTAAAATTTTTAAAAATGAATATAAACAAACCTAACTATTCAAGATTATTTCTGTCTACAGAGAAAAGAGACTTCATAGATCACTAATTATGTATTGTAATATGCAATCCTGTATTATCTCAAAGTTTTGATTTTCTTGTTCATGGAAAAAAAAATAAGATTTTATAGAAAGATTATCATTTAAATGGTTATTTTTTAAATTAAGTTTTATGACTTAAAGAAATAAACTTAAATTGTACAGGAAATTGACTTATTAGAAATCCTTCACTAGGTGTGGTGGTGCATGCCAGTAATACCAGCACTTAGGAGGCTGAGACAGGAGGATCCTTGCGAGTTCGAGACCAGACTGGGCTACAAAGTTACCTCAAGGCCAGCCTGAACTGCATAGTAAGGCCCTGTCTCAAAAAGACAAAAAAGAAAGGAAAAGAAATCCTTCATTTTTCTAGAATGTTAGATAAGAGAGATAATATCACCTTCTTTGAAAATGTCACATATAATGTTCACATAATAGATGGTGGTTACCTAGACTTATGTAGTTTTACATGGTTATCTATAATTTCATATTTAAAGTGGCTAAACATGTTAGTTTTGTAATTCATAAAAAGAAGTAAATGTTTTAAAGTTTCCTCATTCTTAATTGTTTGCTGTACACTTATGAATATAAAAAAAACTAGGGTCATCTGTTTCCCCGTAATCTTTCTTATATTAAAAATAGTATTTCTCAGCTGGGGATGGTGGCATGACTATAATGCCAGCACTCTGGGAGGCTGAAGCTGGAACACTAGTCTGGGCAACTTGTGGCCTAGTGAGACCTTGTTTCAAACAAAGAACAATTTAAAAAGAGGGGCTGCAGATGTGGCTCAGAGTAAGGCCCTAGGTTCAATCCCCAGCACCAGAAAAACAAAGTATTTCTTAACAGTATAGCAGAACACACACGAAGCTCTTAAAAATTCATGTAATGACTGAATCATTTTGAAATAGGGCTAGAAGTCAAAATTCCCCAACTAAAACGTGCTCATTTCTTGTTCTGTTTCTTCTCTTCCTACAAAAAAAAAAGGCTTCATTGTTTCTAAGTCTGCCTGCCTCAGCCCTGAACTCTAGCTTCAGATAATTCACTGTTTCAAGTCAAACCTCCTGCCATGAAATTGTTAAAGCGTTAGTGTCACCGACGCCATAAGCAATCCTAGGAAGATGGCGGCTATGAGTTAAATTGAAAGTAGAATACATAGTTCAGATTTTCATATTTTAACCTATTCAAATAGGTAAGATACAATTAAACAGCTGACACACCTTCTTCCTTGCTTGGTGCCCTACGAGGTTGGGTGCTGGTTGGTTCCTCATCTTCTTGGTATTTCTGAGTGAGTCGGACAAAAAGAGCTCTTTGCACTGCAGGAAGGAGGCCTGGGGCTGGCAGAGGGCTGTGGCCTGTCATGTTGCCACTGGTGTCAGGCCCACTGCCCAGGTGAGGTGAGTCTTGCACAATGAGGGGCTGCTGCGGGACATACTCCCCATGCCACAGCCCATCTGCAGACACAGCAAGGGAAGGGAGAGACCCGAGTGAGCACAAACTCCAACAGAGAGGTAAGAAATTCAAACTATAATAGCCATCACACTGGATTCTCAAGTTATTATGTAATTGTAAAGGAGTTTTAAAAGTTGTCTAAAGTTCTATTGTTTCAAAAGTTAAACTTCTATTACTATTGTTTTCGGTGAAATTGAAAACATTTTAAGATTTCAATTTCACTGATTTTATTTAGCTTTATTTAAAACATACACTCCCCTATCATGCTTTTAATGAAAACTAGAACTTTATTTTAAATTAGCAAAAAGTGCTTTCAAAAGGTAAACTTACCATCAGAGTTACTGGGTGGCTGAAAATTATGTATAGCAGGCTGTGAATAGTAATTATCATAAAATTCAGCTGGGTCATGCAGGGACTCATAACTGGTGTTGAGCTGCATTTCACCAGGAATTTGCTGGTATGATGAACCTGGAGAGCAGTGATTCTCTCTGGGTGCTTTCATCACGTGTCCTGGAAAGCCGGGGGAGTGGTAAGCTCCACCCATACACGGTGGTGTCAAAGGCGCATCTTGCTGAACAAGTCCTCCAGCTTGACTGTGAGGGCCTATAATTTCAGGTGGACCAGGCGGCAAAGGTGGGCTCTGTGGCATTGGTAGACCAGGAGGTCCTGCACATGGGTGATGCCCAGGGGAGCCTGGATGCATCACAGGACTACTGCACCCCTGAGATACATTAGGTCCAGAACCTGGACTTGACCCAGAACTATATATATGCTGAGGATGTGGGCTGCTTCCCTGAAATTGTGGTCCTGGTGGTGAGGCACTGTTATAAAATGCTGGTGGTCTGTGCACAGAAAGAATGATATTTTTTAGTTCAAAGAGACAAGCAAGAATGCTACACTCCTAAAGAGTTACTGATTAACTATGATTTTCTCTATCCAATGAAAATACCACGTGTTTAAGAAACTATTCCATATCATCCACAGACAGAGATGCTACACATGCCTTTTGCTTTCATTTTAGCTCAGTTTCCTTACTTGCTGCTTATATACCAGTGGTTCTAAAACAGAACAGATATTTTAGAAAAGTACAAAAATAAACAAGAATCACCTCTAATCCCACCACCCAGACATAAAGTTTTTGACTGATTCTCCCATAGTCCTTTTTCTACTGGACTTTAAAAAAAAAAAACAAAACTAGAATAATACTACATAAACACAACTTTTTATTGTAATTTCTAATGGGTTATTGCTGGCATATAAAAAGAGATGTTGAATGCTGTTTTCCTTTCTTGGAGGATACCTTGGTGATTCATTATTTGTAACAGTTTTGTCAGGTACTTCCTTTAGGTTTATTGAGGGACAATATGCAAATAATGAGTATCTTTATCCACTCCTAATCTTTATACTTTTTATATATCTCTCTTACTTCATTTACTAGGATTTGATATATAATATTAGCAAAATAGTGGACATACTTGTCTTTAATAGAAATACTTTTAATGATTCACATTAACTATGATGTTTACTATTGACTTATTGCTCCTCATCTACTGTGACCTCATCTCTTTCCTTAGTGTTCAAGGTTAAAGAAATAAGCAACCATGGGGCCAGGTATACAGACCCTAGGGGATAAACAGCAGGGCTGGAATGGTATTGTTAGAAAATGACAATCTGGGTTCGGATTTCCCAGAAGTTTTCCTCTCATGTCCTAAGGAAATGCTTTCAACAAAGAACAAAATATGCTGGAGACACGTTGCAAATGTGCACCATTTGCAGGTATTATCAGCAAAACTGCAGGCTTATACTCAGGTGGGGGAAACGCCAGCACCATTCAGGATTGCAGCAGAGGGTGGGGGAAAAGAGCCAGGGGAAGCAGCAGTCTGAGTGCATGCCAGGTATCTGCCACCTCTTTCAAGTTAATATCCACTCACAATTAATTTGGCATATCATGTAGTATTTTAACAAATTTTTACAGAAAATTTGCTGCCATTTTAAAAGTTTCAACTTACTTCTTCCCAATTTTATGTGCTAAATCCACAGTAGGTTTTACAACTATTTCAAAAAGAGATGGAATTTTCTTGAAATCATCAGAGAGATCTGTCTGAAAATCATCTTCAGGATCAGAAAAGGGAAAATGTTCTGGTGGAGTTGGCAGAAGCCCAACTCCCGGAGGCGGTTTGGGAAGAGGAGTTATACCGCACTTTCTGAGTTCTTCTAATTCTCTTTCATCTTCATTTATAAGTTCTTCGTCAGTATTCAACACCTAAAAATAGGTGGTAAGAATTACTATTTCAAAACAAGATCTCTTTCTCACATTTAAAACTGTGAAGACTTCAGTAAATGAGTTTTGTTAACCGAAAAATATTAAAGTTGAAATGGATCAGAGATAGCTAATTTCTTATTTTCAATAAACAGAATGAACTTTAAAGAAGGGATATTACTCAGAAGTAAATTAGCATTTTTTTTTTTTTTAGTGGCAGGGCTGGGATAAGAGCAAAACATTCCTAATCCAGTAATTCTGTTTTTCCCCACACATTATACAGTATTAAAAGAATAAAACATAAAATAACAAATCTTCAATTTCTTAGCAAAATTTCACAAAATATGCTTTATAAAATACATTCAAGCCAAATGAATCTGTGGAGAGACGCAAGAAAAATATTCAAGGTGAAGAACTACTCACTTTCTCCAAAAGTTTCTTTGTTTCTTTAGTCAGATCATCATGGGAAAATTTACAGTTGTCCCCTTGGTAACACTTTGCGCCACTATGATAGAACTTACATGGAAATTCATGTACACAAAAAGTATTAAGGAACAGACCAAGTAAAATCAAAGTCTGAACTTTTTTAGACCAAAAAACATAACATTATTAAGATCTACAAACCTGCCATACAACATTGTAGCTATGGTCAACAATACTGTATTGTACCTCTTTAAAACTGTTAAGAAAGTAGATCTCATATTAAATGTTCTTCCCACAATAAAAAATTGTGCTAATCGATAGGCCTGTATTGTATATTGTACTTAAGGTCCTATACTCACAAGTCAATAGGACTGTATTATATATTATACTGAGTGTCCTACAGTCACATCAGATTATTTTTTAAGATTAAAGGGTAAAAAAAAATTGTCATAGTTACAGCAAATACTATAGTACTTTAATTACATAGATTTATTACTTTCCAAAATAAAACAAAATATTACACAGAGCAAATAAATTTTATAGCTAGAACTTACATTTATGAGAAAAATGAAGGGCCATGTTAAAAGCAAATATCCCAACAATGAAAACTACAGAGTAAGTTTATTTAAGTTTATGGAGATAAACTTCTAAAGAAAATATTAAATCTAACAGTATAGTGAAAAAATACACCATTTTCAGGTAGTGTTGTATTCCGGGAATATCTGGATTGTTTTAGGCAGTTTATTACTAAAATCACATTAACAAATTCAAGAGAGAAAAATCATTATATATTTTTTTTTTTGGTACTGGGAATCAAACTCAGGACCTTGCACTTGCCAGGCAAGTGCTTATGCCACTGAGCTACATCCCTGGCTATCATGTTGGTAGCTGCAAAAAGAAACTGATAAAATTCAAAATCTTCTTTTGGACTAAAAAAAAATCTTGGTAAAATATGAATATATGCCTTTTACTTGATTTTTTTTTTTAAAAAAATCTATCTTAAAATTAAAGCCAAGAGCCAAAACAAAAAGACGTTAAGATACATATTGTATCTGTGCCACAATCAACATTAATCACCATTATCCTGACAATATACTCATTATAATTAAAATTAAATTAGAAGTCTAAATATAATAAATTAAATAAAATTGTCACTACTTATAGATGACGTGACAGGGAAAAAAACGAAGAGACTGAAAGCTTTTAAAAAGAGTTTAAAAGGCTATTTGGCTTCTAAAGAAATGTGTCATATCTGAATAAAATTACTTTTCTTGAATAAAACAACATTATTACAACATTTTGACATTTGGAGATGTATTTACCTTACTTGACATCAAATATACTTTTTTTTTTTTTTTTTTCTTTTTGTCTTTTTGAGACAGGATCTTGCTATGCAGTTCAGGCTGGCCTCGAGCTCACTTATGTAGCCTAGGCTAGTCTCGAACTTGCAACAATTCTCTTGCCTCAGCCTCCCAAGTGCTGGGATTACAGGTGTGTGCCACCACACCTGGCTCTTTTAGAAGGGAATACAGTGGTCAAACGGTACAGTGGATAAGAATTAGAGCTGTGTACAAATAAATATTTAGGATCTCATAACAATGGCTTTTTTGTTAGGATCTTGTAAAGGAGTTTTTTGGGGGGTTTTTTGTTTTTGTTTTTGTTTTAAATAAAGGGGCCTCACTATGTTGCCCAGGCTGGCCTTGAGTCCTGAATTCAAGGGACCCTCCTGCCTCAGCTGTGACTACTCAGTACCTGTGCCCCTATGCTCAGCCAAAGGTACCATTTTAAATATGTGAACATGAGACAGTGAGTCAGCCATTTGGAGAAAAAATCAAGGTCTTTACTGTACACCATACATTAAAATAGAACCCATACGAATTAAAGATGTTAAGTAAAAAAAGTCTTTAAAATCATAGATAAGTTAATGGTTATTCAACAGGTCACTCATGTATAGCTCTATTTATTTTCTTTAGAAGCCACTTTGAAGATACCGAAGTACAGCACAACAACTACTGATAATCTCCTACCTCTTTTGTCTCTAACTCACTATTATTTGTCAATTTGTTTTCCTGAGAAACTACCTTGTAGGTAACAGTATGTAAAACAATAACCATTGATAATTTCCTACCACTTTGTCTGTAATTTGGTAAGGCCCCCCCACTATTATGTTATCCTTCTTTTACTCTTTAAAATAAAAAAAAAATTTAAAAAAAAATCATAGCTAAATCTTGTCATTTTTGAAAAAAAAACTATGCATAATTATATATACATTAAGTCACACATTCCTTAGCATACAAGAAAGTCTAAAAGGCTTTATACAACATACCATAGGCATGGTTATCCCAAAGGATGATATTACTTAGGATTGTTTTTAAAGTTAGTTGGAAAGCTATCAAACATATACCAAAGCAAAGATAATAACAAATTCCCTCATACTCATCATGCAAGTTTAACAATTTTCACTGTTTGACAATTTTGTGAGAGGACTATCTTCACTCTTCATTACTCACTCACTGCAGTATTTTACAGAATACATTTCATCTGTAAATACTTCTACATTTATTTCAAACAAGTAAGGGATTTTTTTACCATACATAACCTTATTATGAATCTGACCAAATTGGTGCAGTAATTTCAACTAGTGCCCAGTACTTGTACCCAGGTCAATTCTTCCAGTTGTTGTCATCCACATCCATCCATTATAAAGTTCCTCATCAACTTTTTACCTAGTGACTTTGGCAGCTATCAGTAATCATTACTCGGGTCTATTAATGAATTACAATTTGTAAACTGATTGCTAGGTCAATGTATATACAATTTTGCCAGACACTGCCAAGCTCTACTCCATAAGGGTGCATGCCCAAAATAGGGTTATCTACTTCCTCACAGCCTTGCTGTCACATTGTTTTGGATTTTTGTAAATCTGAGGACTGCAAATGTTATTTCAGTGTAGCTTAAATTACACTGCTCTTATTATGAAAAAGGTTAAGCATCTTTTCATTTGATTTAAGACTATTCACATTTCTCTCCCTGCGAATTATCAGTATCTCTTGGTTCACTTTTCTTGTCAATTTTTAGAAAGTCATACATTAAGTGTATTTCTTCTTTGTAAGTTATATGCGTTGCATTAAATTTTTCTCACTTTATTATTTATCTTCTTACTTAGTTTATACATATGGGTTTTTTTGTTATACAATTTTTTTTGGTACCAGGAATCGAACTCAGGACCGTGCGCTTACCAGGCAGGTGCTGTGTCACTGAGCTATATCCCCAGCCCCTTTATTATACAAATTTGAGCTTAAAATTTTCAACCGATTCCCTTTTTGCTTCTTGATTTTGGTCATTTTCCACTCACCTGAGTTATAAAGAAATTAATTCAAATATTTCTGGGCACCCCACTTTTTATGTTTAGAACTATGATAAAAGAAAATTTCACTTTCCATTTTATTCACTTTTTAAACATTATTTTTTCGCTTGAGAAAACTATTTAAAAATTTACTTTGAAAAATAAAAATAAATAAAAGCAAATGTGAAAATCTACTAAATATTACAGTGGGAAAAACCAGTAAAGCAACCCTGACATGAAGACAAATGAATCCATAGAATCAAACAGAAAGTCTAGGGGAAAAAAGTATGCATATGTGAATATTCTGTTTATGATACAGTTTCAAACCCATTAGTCATAAATGGTAGTAAGCAAATAGCTACATATCTGGGGGAAAATTAACAAGGAAAAAAATACATATATAGTACCACTACACTGTATATACTAAAATCTTCATTTTGACAGAGACAAGTGTACAACTTAATGTATACATTTCCAAAAGGAAAGCAGAGAACACACAGTGTTTATCACTGGGTGGTAAGATTTGATGAGATTCATTTTATAATTTTCAATAATGATAATTTAATTCTTATAAAGCTAAGTAAAATAAATAAATCATAAGGTAATATTTTTCCAAATACTCCTTTCAAGAAGCAGTCTCCTGAAGTATTTTAAGCTGATTATATTACATATAAAGGGCCTTTATTTCATTGTTGTTCCTCCGCAAAGGGAAGTAACTTCATTTCTCTATCACAGATTTTTTTTTCCCCCAAAAGGAAGTTCCTTCATTTCTGCAGAGAATAAAAGCCAGTTTGTCCTTTTGAAGTACAAAGTCTTACTACACTGGGTTTATGTAATTTCTTGCTTTAAATTTAAAACAAAGCAAGGAGCATTTTGCTTGTATCTTTGGTTTTAAAAAACCACACTGATTTCTTTAAAACCTCAACATTCTTTTTATATATATTTTAATAAAGGATATTGTGCATATAAATGCAGTTCTCTCCTTTGGTACAATATCCCTGCAAATAAAATTTGCAGATCTCTTTTCTTTTCTCCAACTCTGCATCATGATCAAATTTACACTGATCTCCCTGTTCAAAAGAAAAAAAAAAAAAAAAGAAAGAAAGAAAGAAAAAAGAAACAACAAAATAACAATTGTATTTTTTCCATGGTGTTTCACAGTGGAATTATGATCACTACTGTCAGTCTTCAAGCAACGGGCACAACAACCCCTTAGAATTCCTGCCGAGCAGGAGACGTGGCCAGAGCAGCAGTGAGACAGCACAGTGAGCACGGCCTCAGAGGGAACTGCCCACATCCCACCAGCACTCACTATTTCTAGCTGAGCTGCTACAGAAGCTTATTTAACCTTTTGATGCTGTATTTCAAGTGGGGATAATAACAGAACAATAACTATGTAATGGGATCGATGTAAGGATGAAATCATTTCATATGAGTTGTACTCTGAACAGTATTTGCCAAATAAGTTGTATTTGCCACAAATATTAATATATTTGTTAAATAAAACATGATTTCTGCAAATTACATTACTGTCTCAGAATAATTTGCACAGCATAGCTCTAATGTACACTACTTTCATGCAAGGTAATATTAAAGAGCTAACTGTATTACAAATGAATGAGAAATGAAAAGTAATTCAACAACTCCCCAAATCTTTAAGTTTTAAAGAGTGACTTAAAATACTCCATATACATTTACCTTAATACATCTCCCTTCCAGGAAGTATTTACAGATTTGCTTTCCTTTGTGTTCCACTGTATGCTGATTAATAAATTCCTGAGTCATAACCTTCCATTTTTTCCCTGGTTTACTATACTGCAAGAAAAAAATTTTCATTTGAATATAACACATGAAATAGTACTAGGTATTAAAATGTACAGTTAAATGGATCTGGAAAAGAGTACAGACTGACTATTAACAGTAATCAAGACAGGATATTCTTTTTTTTCGGTCTTTTTCAGATAGGGTTTCACTATGCAATTTAGACAGGTCTTGAGCTCACTTCGAAGCTCAAGCTGGTCTTGATTCTCCTGCCTCAGCCTCCCAAGCGCTAGGATTACAGGTGAGAATGTTTTGGGGTTTTCTGTTTGTTTGGGTTTTTTTTTTTTTTGTCTTTTTGAGACAGGGTCTCACTATGCAGTTCAGGCTGGCCTGAGCGCACTTTGTAGCCCAGGTTGGCCTCAAACTCACAACGATCCTCCTGCCTTAGCCTCCTAAGTGCTGGGATTACAGATGTGCACCACCATGCCCGGCAAGAATGTATATTTTGAAAATAAATTTACAAAAAGCCTGAAATTTCTTACTAGTAATTTTGACAAAGGTGCTATAAAAATGTACTTTCATGTACTATTGATAGGTATGTCATAAAAAAAACTTTAAAATATCCATTGGGAGTATATTATGCAAATTAATGAGTAAATTTGAGAATATAACACATGAAATATAACACATGGCTCTGTAATGAGAACATAAGATATTAGATAACATACACACACCAATCCCTGAAAAATACAACACACTGTACTTATGTTACCATGGATAAACTTTCTCTCTCTGTTTACATTACTAAGAATAGTTCATTGTTTTTATACTGGATTGGGGAACTGTTCTGTTTTGTAGATTAATTCACTTCAAACAAGTAGAAAAATTTCTCAGTACCCATAACTATGACGATCTTGACTATAACAGTACAATCAAGGTACTGTAAAAATCTAAAGCAACTTTAGCAAATAATTTTAGAGCATCTAGCTTTTAAGTTTGACCCTACAAAGAAACCACACATGTTCTCCATCCTAAAGAGCTCTTATAAGACACAAAAGAATCACAGAAATAATGTAGTACATCACCTTCATTGGACAAACATGAAAACGGATGAGTGGAAAAGTTACTGACTTGTCCACCACATGGTGAGTTAGTAAAGTCAGGACAGAGCTTAAGGACTGTGCCTTCAAGTCCCACGACCTTTGCATTGTAGCACACTCCCCCTAATAAAACAGAATACAAACAGGGGAGCATGGGCCGGGGATAGAGCGCAGCAGCATAAGTGCCGGCCTGGCAAGTGCAAGGTCCTGAGTTTGATTCCCAGTACCAAAAAAAACAGGGGGAGCAGGAGAGAAAGACAGAGGGAGGGGAATTGAGCTACCTATTCGGTCCTTTAGAAGACCTATAACATTTACATAAGGGACAAGAGCATAAACTATATAGAAGGAAGAGGAAATGAAAGGGTCTACCAGGAAAAGGAAATATACTTACAGAATCTTTAATAGCTACTGTAAACATTTTAAAAATTTAAAAGTGTTATGGCCAGCAAATAAATCTTTAAAATCTAGCAGAAGTTTGCTTGTTCTGTAACTGTTCTTGAGTTTTCAAGAAAATTCATGTGGGTCTGAAGGTAACCCTGAATTTATCTGGCCTTCTGGGAATCTCGTAATCTCTGAAAGGCCAAGGATGGAAATGGATCTATGCTGGTCACTCTATCGTGGCCTGCATGTCCCCTCTATTCTGGGTGGGGCTCTAGAACACGAGCTGCTTCCTTGGGATCTGGCAATCTCTGGTCATTTCTGGAATCATAAGAAATGTCTCTCTTGACAGCCAATAAATTGACATAGTTGATAATATATTTTAATCTTGATTTTTCTATTACATGATAAACTATTTAGTTATAGCCCAGATTTATAAACATCTAAAATATTAGTACTTGAAGAAATACTTAAGAGCTAATTTAATACTATGCCTCATTTTACAGATTAAAGACAGGCAGTAACCTGTTCAAAGGCACACTTTCTAGAAAACTAGTACTTTTAGCTACAGAGTATAAGAACTGGGTATGGAACATGCTTACTTAGAAAGTACACATATTGGTTTGGGTTAGAAAAAGCAGCACATTCTAAAGGTCTAGGAAGATGAACAGAAAGAAATAAATAATCACCCAGAAATTCTAAAATAGCAGTGATACAATTAATAATTCCATAAGTTGTCATTTTGTAGTGGTTCACTAAATGTTAATAGATGTGTAGGATAATAAAAGAGCTTGCAGTCAAGTATATTTTGAAAATGATACATTGAATAAAGTAAAATAAGCTTCCTTATGCAAAATCTGCTCAGAATCTTTAATAGATGTATGTTGAATAAAAATCCCCAGAAATAGGGTGACATGTGCAGAGTTCCACACATATATATATGTGGGCCTGAAGTTCTCTTTTTAGAGCACAGCTATTAACATTCCCTTAAATAGTATATGAATAAGTACCTATTAAGAAATCTCCGCATATTATCTTTAAAATCAGAGATCAGACAGCCAAGTTTCAAATTACAACATGCATTTCACACAAAGTTGTAGCTTTAGAATACCTACCCCTGACCCTGCATAATTTAGCAGGACCTGCAAATCTTACTAGAACAGTGGTAGAATACATGAATTGGGTCACTCTAATCCAGAAAGTTTCCACAAGGCTGAAATGCACATCCATCACCTTTTTCTTTCTTTCTTTCTTTCTTTCTTTCTTTCTTTCTTTCTTTCTTTCTTTCTTT